ACACATTAGGTCACCATTGTGGGCTTATCAACAATAACCTCCAGAACGTGAGGTGCGACAGTCATCATCGTTTCGATGTTCCGATAAACAAACGCCCAACTACAACTAGTGACCTCTATTAGAAAGTGAAAGAAGGAAATGGGTCACAATAATCTGACTAGCACTTACCTGTGCCCTAGCTATCTATCTCTCTGGGCGTCTGGGTATAGATAGATTGGCATATACGTCTTTATCTAGACTTTGCTAGAAATATATCTTTATATTTTAACAATTAAAAAAAATCTCATTTACAAGTTTCATTTTCAAAATCTTGGAAGAGCTTCGGTTGTTCTGTGTTAATTGAAACTGTCATTCGTTGGTTTGATATTTGTATGCATTAAATAGAAAAATAAATAAATGTTTGCATGTTTTGAAATGATTTAAAACTTTAAGTCAAATTATTTATACATATAATAAATATAACTAGTTTTATGTGGGTTATTTAAAGTATTTTAATATTGGGGATTTGTGCACCAATTACAGAGTACTGTTTCTGACATCGAGTACAAGTATGTATTCGTCAGTCTATCTTAATTATTTCAAGAGAAATTATTTTTGTTTGCACGACTTAATATATGATACGGAAATACTTTCTGCTAATATTGAATTCAGGAAAAAAAAACATGCTTCCTTCAGCTGTATATTAACTAGAGGTACAACTAACTTGTTACCAGGCGATTTTGTTCTGTGGCATCAAGCCAAACGAGTGCGCGCGGTGATCATAACCTTGAACGCGCTATACACGCTTCCCCTGGCTACTAATTCAAGAATGGCGGGCGTTCACCTCTTTCTACCCAGAAAGCGTCACGCACGCGCAATGTGCCTTGACTTTGATAGTTTTTTTTTCTTCTTCTGATACGTCTACGTACCAGAGGCCTTGCTCAGTTTGAGGAAGTTTTTGTAGCGCCGTCTAGCGGTTAGACATTCAGCTCCATAAAAAAAGGCGCCTTGACCTCAATTGCGTTTCCCCTGCTTTTATAAAACATATGTACAATTAACTGTTTATTTGTTGCTATAACCAATTTTTGTCGGTTACTGTGCGGATAAATTTCAAATATAAGGGAATCGGGTTAAAATATATTTGCTGTAATATTTAGACGCCTGATAATATTATCATAAATCCAACGCACGTCCAGGTCGCATCTATTTTGGATAATTTTGATTTTTAATTTCTTCGATCTAAATAATGTTATTTAAATAAGAATATAAAATTGGAATACAAACATACATATAAATATGGTTTGAGCAAGACAAACGGGCTTTAAGAGCCGATTTGGAATAGATATGCCTCAGCCAAATAATTGGTTTAACATCCTGCTAAATGTTTAAAATATTATAAAGAGTTTCATTACTAGCTAATTTTTTGACATATTTTTAAACTAAAAATTATTTGCATCGTCAGGTTTGCGGCTTTCAAACTTCGCTTCTTGTGCACACTTTGCATTGGGACCAAAAACGGGTATATATTAAGACTTTACGTGAGATTTTATACGATTCTTTGTCAGATTTATTGTGATCATTTTGGCAATTCTTATTGTGTGTGTGTGTGTATACCCCTTCATTTTTAGAATGCAAATCAAAAACTTTCACTAATCTACTTTTGATTAAACCATAACAGTGAGTTATACAGTAAAATGGCTTTTTTTTTCTCTCTCTCATGATATTGTCTTATGGTTTTTGTTCTCAAATTAAGATACATACAAACATAGGTATTAAAAAATAATTATTTTAAAAATGTTTTTCCCTACAACTTGACAACGTATCCACTACGCCACCTTAAGATTTACGAAAAGTCTTTGACGTCAGGGTTATAAAATTAAAAGAGACCCGTCTCCTCGCGCGCCGTTTTTTAGTGTTTTTTTTTTCGTGTCTTGCATGTTGGCTGCTTCCTGTTGAACGACTGCTATATGGGTCACGGACAGAAAGCAGCATACGGGCGTGAGTGTGCGCACACTCGGGAGACTATGCGGCAATCGATCTACCCCGCTGTGAGAGAGGAAAACTCGATATACAAGGAAGTTCTAATACAGATTTTATTGAAAATACGTTTTCGGAATTTTGAATTAATGATTATCTTCTTCAGTTTCCATTTATGAAGAGGTGAAGAGGTACTTACCACTCGTGCACACGCGCACACACACACACACACGCGTATGTGTATATATCTTCATATATCTGTGCTAAAATGTGCATGCGAATTTGTATCTTATGAATTCGAAATTGAATAAAGACAATTGTTGTTTATTAGTCAAAAATTATTTTATTACAATTAACCTTTTCATATTTTTGTCTCTTTTGTTGCTGTGTTATAATAAAAAATATACACCGTGTTCTGTCAACCTACCGACTTATCTGGCACAAAATTTTATACCTAGCGCTTTGTCGTCTTAGAAAAACGATGCTTGAAGGTTACGTGATGCTGTCGACCTCTCAACACTGGTCGACCTTCGACGGTTGCTTGTTATCGTTTTGAACGCATGTGCTATTTAGGTTGAATATCCTCAGATCTTGGGCTTTATGTCCAAGGTAACACACCTGGAAATAATGTATTTTTTTCTTCTGGTGTTTTTTTAAATGATATCTTGTCATCCAATCTCTTTACAACTGGAGACGTATTGTGATCGCCGTTAGTTGAGTAGAATTGATTTGTTGGTTGTATTCGCTGAAACAGGGCATGAGATTTAACTTTTAATGTAAGTTCTTTGTTGGGAAGGGGCTACTGGTTTTACAAGTTGAAAACGTAGTGATTGGTGCTATCTATATAGAACCGATGAACATTGCTTTTCACACTATGAACACTGGCTTAGAGAGTATTGCTGTTATAAGTGAAATAAGAGTTTAGCGAATGATAATGTAGGTTTAGTTCTTAATGTTTGACTCATGATAAAATGAAGATTTGTAAAGAAGAAAAAATAATAATAAAAGGAAATGCATAAACTAAAAACAAACATACAAAAAAAAAACTGCCAGTATTAGAATTGGTGAGTAATAGTTTAAATTTTCCTGTTATTCCTTTAAGAATATTGCAATGTACATATTTGTGATTTGAAATACATAACGTGAGATTTGAATGGTTAATAAAAAAGGAAGAAACTTACTCAAAGACTAATGACAAGTATATATACATATATATATATATAATCTCTGTAAATGCCGTTTGCTTTAAATTACACGCCATTTTTCATTGGGTTTGGAGTACTTAGCTCAATGCTGTGTCACATGGGATTCCAACTACACGTGAACAGTGGCTCAATGCCACATTTGTGGAGTTCATAGACCCCGCTTGTTTACAAAGACAACTTTCATAGTCAAAAATAACCACGACCTTGATATACAAAGCTGCCAATCAGAGTTGGATTGCTAGCCTATTTTTCGTTACTTTTGGAGAGCTCTTTTGGGGTTAGAATTTGGAATAATAACTCTTTTGTAACGACTTTTGTATATCAGTTGATTATAAATGCCACCAATTAATTTCCTAACCGTTCATTAATGCCTTTGTGTAAGATGTAACGTTTTGCATGTTCGAAACTGTAAACACCATCGTATGCATGGCATGCTTACTGGTATCCAAGTATGATACAAGTATGGCATGCTTCATGCCATACTTGTATCATACTTGGATACCAGCTGGTATCCAAGTATGATACAAGTATGGCATGATTACTGGTATCCAAGTATGATACAAGATGGCATGATTA